GTCCCTATTTAAATGTCTTTCATATTATTCTCTTTCCTGATTGTATTAGCTAAGACTTCCAGCACTATTCTGAAAAGGAGTGGAGAAAGTGGGCAGCCTTGTCTTGTACCAGGTTTTAGTGGAAAAGCTTTCAGCTTTTCCCCATTCAGTTTAATGTTGGTATGTATTTTTCATAAATAACTTTTATTGTGTTGAAAAATTACCCTTCTATGCCAAGTTTTCTTAGAGTCTTAATCATGAAGCAGGGATGTTGTATTTTATCAAATGTTTTTTCTGCATCAATTAATATAATCATATGGTCTTTATCTTTCTTGTTAATGTGGCGTATTATGTTTATGGTTTTGCGTATGTTGAACCACCCTTCTATCCCTGGTATAAAATCTACCTGGTTGTGATGTACAATCTTTTTTTATGTGATTTGGGATACAAATTGCTAGTATCCTGTTGAGAATTTCTGCATCTATATTCATCAGAGACATTGGTATGTAGCTTTCCTTACTTGTCATGGCCTTATCTGTTTCATAAAGTGAATTAAGGCTTCATAAAGTAAATTTGGGAGGGTCCCTTGCTTTTGGATCTTTAAAAAGAATTGGGGTAGAATGAGGTTTAACTCTTCTTTGAAAGTTTTGCAAAATTCAGAAGTGAAGCCATCAGGACCTGGGTTTTTCTCTGGTGGGAGGTTATTCATTACTGATTCAATCTCATTGCTTGTTATGGGCCTATTCAGACTTTATATGTCCTCCTGATTCAATCTTGGTAGGTTATATGCATCCAGGAATTTGTCCATCTCCTCCACATTTTCTTGTTTGTTGGTATACAGTCTCTCATAGTTATCCCCTAATAATGTTTTGTATTTTATTGTGTCTATTGTAATATTGCCTGTTTCATTGTGATTTGGTTTATCTGGTTCCTTTCTCTTTTCTTCTTTATTTGTCTGGCTAATGGTATGTCAATCTTGTTGATCTTTTTCAAAGAATCAGCTTTTGCTTTCAGTCAATTTCTGTGTAGTTCATTGATTTTCTATTTCATTTATTTCTGCTTTAATCTTTATTTATTTCTTTTTTCCTGGCACTTTTTGGATTGTTTTGTTGTTGTTATTTTTCCAATTCTCTGATGTTGGCTTGTCCATTTGCCATCTTTCCATTTTTTTCTTATGTACACTAATTGCCAAGAACTTCCCTCTTATGACTGCTTTTACTGTGTACCATAGATATAGGAACTCATGTACTCAGTATCATTAGTTTCCATAAATATTTTTATTTCATCCTTACTTTCTTCAGTAGGTGTGAAGTCATTCAGGAGTAGGTTATTTAGTTTCCATATGATTGTGTATTTTTGTGGATATTTCTGAAATTAATATCAAGTCTAATTCCATCATGATCAGAGAAGATGCTGGATATAGTTTCTATGCCTTTGAATCTGTAAAGGCTTGTTTTGTGCCCTATTATGTGGTCAGTCTTCGAAAAGGTTCCGTGTGGTGGTGAGAAAATGTGTATTTTGTGCTTTTTGGGAGGAAGGTTCTATACATGTCTGCCAAGCCCATTTGATGTATAGTATCATTTTGATCCTGTATCTCTGTGCTTATCTTTTGGCTATGTGATTGGTCCTAAGGAGATAGTGGGGTGCTAAGATTCCCCAACAATTGCTATGTTTCAGTCTATGTCTCCATTTAGATCTAGTAGCCTTTTTCCTTCATGTATTTAGGTGCTCCTGATTTGGGTGCATAGATATTTATAAGCATTATGTCTTCTTGATGAATTAGCCCTTTTACTACTCTATAATACCATTCCTGTGCTTTCTTACAGTTTTTGTCTTAAACCTATTTTGTCTGAAATCAGTAACACAACTCCAGCTCTTTTTTGGTTTCAGTTTGCATGGGATACCTTTTGCCAGTCCTTTACTTTTAGACTATGTATATCTTTATCCATGAGGTGTGTTTCTTGTAGGCAACAGATAGAGGGTTTCTGTTTCTTTATCCATTCAGCCAACCTGTGTCTCTTGATTGAGGAATTTAATCTATTAACATTCAACGTTATTACTTATATTTCCAGTCTTCTCCCTACCATTAAGTCAACAATTTTCTTGACTGTTTTTGTTCTCTTATTTCTGTCTGTCTCTTTAGTTTTCCTAGTATAGCACTCTCTTCAGAATTTCTTGAAGACCTGATACGGTGTTAGTAAATTCTTTCACATTTTGTTTATCTAATAATATTTTTTCTTTTCATCCCATTTAACGGATTATCATGCCGGGTATACTAATCTTCGCTGAAATTGTTTCTCTCTTAACCCTTTGAATACATCTGTCCAGTATTGTCTTGCTTGCATTGTTTCCAGTGAAAGGTCCAATGTCGGCCTGCTTGGATAATTTTTTAAAGTAATTAGATGTTTTTCTATTGCCAACTTTAGTATCTTGTCTCTATCTGTGGTTTTGGCCAGTCTGACTATGATGTGCCATGGAGAGGATCTTCTTGGCTTGATTCTACGTGGGGTCCTTTGTATTTCATGGGTCTAGATGTTTGAATGCTCCTCTAGACTTAGAAAATTTTCTTCTAAAATTTCATGGAATAGATTATCAATTTCCTCATTACTTTCTTCACCTTCTGGAATACCAATTATATGGATGTTTGGACATTTAATGGTATCTTGCATTTCTCATTTATTGTCCTCATATTTTTTCCTGGTTATTTTTTCAGTCTTTTTAATTATTTTTTTTCTAGGTCAGAAGTTTTGTCTTCTACGTCTGAGATTCGATCTTCTGCACTATCTAATCTGCTTTTAATACTTTGAAGGATGGTTTTGATTTTCTGTATTACAGCCTTCGTTCTAAATATTCTGTTTGATTCTTTTTTATAATGTCAAATACTTCTTTCAAATAGGAAAGGACTTCCTCATTTCCTGGATTTCATTGTCTCTTTACTCTTACATCTCATAGAGTTTTATCACCATAAATATTCTGAGTTCTTTTTCTGACATTTTGGTAATTTCCTCTAGTTTTCCATACTTGCAGACAAGTTACGATGTTCCCTTACTGGAGATGTATTACTTGGTTCTCTCATCCTTGAGGTTCTTCTCCGATATTTAATCATTTGGTAACATATTCACTTTTGGCTAATCTGTTAAAAGCAGTTTCCTGCAACTGTGAGCTTATGCATTTCTTTATTGTGAAGTACTTCTATGCCAATTTCTCTCTTCTACTGTGTTTTGTAATATGGTATCCACCAGAAAAGTTTTGAGTTCAGATTTGTGGAGAGGAGATTCTCCCTTTTTGCAGCAGGTTCAGTGAGAAGGTGAAGATTTCTCAGAGCCTCCCAGTATTCAGATGTTTGACTACTATGTACCTAGAGAGTGGGTGGAGGTTATCTAGCTTTTTGTGTCTGGAAGGAGACCAGCACCAGCTGGGGGCTTCTCAGCTTTGAAGCTGGGCCTTGAAATGGGCAAGGCATGCCTCAGAGAGATAGATATCTTCTGGAAAATCCTGCAATTTCCCTGTCCTTTCTAGTTATTTTGGGTCTGGAAGGCACTGGCTGTGGCCTTCTCAGTCTAGAAGCTGGGCCCTGAAATCTGTTTGTTATATTTTTGCAACAGGGCACCTATACGTACTAGAGAGAGAAGGAAAGTGAGAAATTACTCCCAGAGGATATGGCCACACCACAATCCCCTCTCCATTATTGTTTTCTCAAGATCTAGGGGCACACACACATATACCTGGCATGTTTCTCAAGGTCCCATGCTGTACACCATATGTATTCTAGTGTCTTACCCACCACGCTGACTGCTCATCTTGAATTATTTTTTAAAAAGAATCAACAAGGTCAGATATAGAGATAAACATAAACTGGATGAATATTCTATGTGCATCCCACATGTGGGGATTCTAAAACAAAACTATTCTACTCAAGTTCTCTAGAATGCTAACATTTTGTGTATAAAACAATTAATATACCACAATTTTCACTCTGAAAAAGATAAAAAAAAATAAACAGTATATGGTTTTCCTCAACAAAAATATTTTTAAATGTACTGAAGTTTGTATATAAAGACAATGGAGTATGATCTGACATATTGGCAGACTGATTCAATACTGGAAACATGGGGGGAAAAAAATCAAATATTCAGGTTTCTACCAGACCTGAGAGCTTATTAAGCAGTAGTTGATGGCGATACAGAGTTGCATGAATTACCAAAAGAAACAATGAAGAAAGGGAAGAGAAGATGTAAAAGAAAAACATTAAGTTACACATATTTAAGGGCTTAAAAAAGATTAAAATAGCTACTTACAGTGTGAGGAATTCCTTCTCGAGAAGATAAAATGTTGTAGAATTGATTGTGATAGTTGCAGAAGTCTGTGAACATGCTAAAAAAATGTTGGATTTTATTATTTAAAAGGGTAAAGTATGATATGTAAATTGTATTTCAATAAAACTTCTCTGCTTTAATAAAAGAGCTATGGAAAAAATAGAAAAGAAAAAACTGTCAAAAGAGATATTTAAAATCTACTTTGAAAATGTGAAGACTGGGAAGAAAATTCACTGAGTTTATTTTGCTAGAAATCTAATCCCGGTATTCTTTGTGATTTATAATCTTTCACTATCCGTGTAGATGCATGCTACCTACTGACCTCTGAGTCACTCTGAATTTGGTCATAGAGTGTTTCTCATTGCCCTGGATGCTGCCATACTATATGTCCTTTGCACTGAAGTGTCTTTCTCAAAGACCTAGAAATATTGTCCATTCTTTATCATGTGCAATAAAAACTAGCATGGGATTCTGGCATCTCAACTGATTTGTAAGTTTCCTGAGAGTAGACAATGTCTTCTCATTTAATAAATACATAAATAGTATGTCAAATACTTATCATCCTTTCATGAGGCCTACAAATTATGTAGCATATAGATTATGAAATTTAACTATTTGCTAAGTGATTAAATCCTATGCATTTGGTGCTGGAGTTCAGGAAGATGATCACCTCTAAATTAGATTGCTCAATGCCTTCACAAAAGTGTCCAGAGCTAACTAACAATTCTGCTTCACTGACCAACAGGAATTCTTCCATGTAATGTCTATCTGTGGAATTAGTAAACTCAGGAAAAGACATATCTGATTCCTAGAGGAGAAAATGGTGGATAAAAATTATTATCTATCTTAACTCATTAATAATTCTGAATTCTACTTTCCTTTTCTATTAAAGAATTCATGAGAGAAGTAAATCAGTCATACACCTCAGAATTCATCCTCTTGGGAGTTAATGATCAAAAGGAACAGGAAGACTTCTTCATCCTCTTCCTGTTTATTTACCCCATCACACTGATTGGAAATCTGCTCATCATCTTGGCGGTCTACTCAGACAGTCACCTTCACAACCCCATGTACTTTTTCCTTGCCAACCTCTCATTGGTTGATATCTTCTTCTCATCTGTAACTCTCCCTAAGATGCTAACCGGCCACCTCTGGGGCAGCAAAGCTATCTCCTTTGGAGGATGCATGACACAGATGTATTTCATGCTTGCCATGGCTAACACAGACAGCTATATTTTGGCTGTGATGGCGTATGACCGGGCTGTGGCCATCAGCCGCCCACTTCATTACATGACGATTATGAGTCTGCGATCTTGTGTCCTCCTAGTTGTTGGGTCTTGGGTGGCTGGAATTGCCAATTCCCTCCCCCACACTCTCCTCACTGCTAGTCTGTCCTTTTGTGGCAACAAGGAAGTCGTCAACTTCTACTGTGACATTGCCTCTTTGCTCAAACTGTCCTGTTCTGACATCCGCTTTAACGTGAAGATTATGTACCTAGGTGCTGGTATTTTCTCTGTGCCATTACTATGCATCATTATCTCCTATGTCCGAGTCTTTTCCACAGTCTTACAAGTTCCATCCACCAAGGGTGTGCTCAAAGCCTTCTCCACCTGTGGATCTCACCTCACAGTAGTTTCTTTGTATTATGGAACAGTCATGGGCATGTATCTCCATCCTCTGACCAGTTACAGCCTAAAGGATGCAGTGATAACTGTGATGTACATTGCAGTGACCCCAATGCTAAATCCTTTCATCTACAGTCTGAGAAACCGGGACATGAAAGCTGCCCTATGGAAACTCTTCAGCAAGAAAATCTCCTCATAATCAATGTGAGGATAAAGATTGGAAACCTATAATGTCTTCTTGAAAATTCACTGTTAATGGCATTCCCTTTAAATATCTTCTTATGATCTATTCAGTCAGAAAATTCCTCTTCTTAGAAATCTTGTAACAGGGACCAGCAGTTAGCGTAATGGCTATGTTGCTGGACTCCCATGTAGTTGACCGCGGTTTGCATCCCGGACCCGGTGGTTTAAACTCACGCTGGGTGCGTGTGCGTGTGTGCCCAAGATCCCGAGAAGAGAATGAAGGAGAAGGGATTGCAGCGTGGCCATCCCCCTGGTGGGTGATTTCTCACTTTCTGTCTCTCTGTCTCTCTCTGTCTGTTTGTCGAGTGCATGCGCTCTATAGCAAAAACCTCTCAAAAAAAAAAGAAAAGCTATTTTAACCTATCACTCTACTTCTCATAATCTTAGTCCATATAAAGTTCATCCATTAATTATTAGTACAGCTATAATAAATAAATGAAAATACTAATATCTGAAGTGTAATCTGTTAATAATTGGGCATATTCAGATTCGACTATATATCTGCATAATATATAGCTGGTATATCAGGATTCATTATAGGAAACAGAAATCATACCTAATATTTTTCAACAATAAAGAGTTAAAACAAAATTAAATATATAGGTGTATTCTGAAAGAGGTTATAGAAGATGGATTCTGATTTAACCCAAAGGCTATTAACTGCCAGGAAAAGTTACTTACACTAGTACTAAAATAATGAAAGATAAAACGTCATACTACCAGAACCAAAGAGATCAGAGTAGAAATGCTCACATACGTAGTATTCAGATCTCAGAGAGGAGTAGCTAACCACTTGTGCTTGGTTCTCACTTAGTAAGGCCACCCAGACATTCATTTGTGAGGGATCTGAAACCCCAATAGCACTACTTCTTTTATTTTTGTTGCTGTAGTTTCCTTTAACCTTATTTATTGAACATGGAAACACTAAGAGTATCTCAGTCATAGTTGTAGATATGGATCTCCTGTCCTTCGTGGTATTGCTACAATACAGTGTCCTTGGTAATGGAGATGAGTCACTTAAGTCAGCTGAAAAATTACCTGTATGGCCCACAGAGGCATACTATAATTTAGAGAATGTTAGGAGCATAATATAAACTTAAATATGTAAATCCTTGGGGCCAACAGATGGTGTAGTGGTTAAGACCCTAGGCTCCCATGTGGTCAACCATGGTTCGAGTTTCAGACCCAGTGACTTGAAACTCAGACCAACTACATGTGCATATGTGCCCAAAATCTCAAGAAGAGAATAAAGGAAAAGGGACTGCAGCATTGCCACCCCCCGGGGGGGATGATATCTTCCCCCCCTCTCTCTCCAGTGATTGCATGCACCATTAAAAAAAAAATTAACTAAAAAAAAAAAAATGTAGTCTTGAGATGATGGAAGCTCTGAAGCATTGCCATTACTCCAAGGAGAGATCAGTTGGTAGAGGAAGTCAAGGTTGGAGAAGACCAGCTGGAAGGCACTTTGCTGTCTTCAATAGAAGTTGGGGTTACAAAAAATGTAGAACAATAAAATAAAATTTAATTTGGAGGAACAAAACCGCACTCCAAAGAAGCATCATCAACAACACCACCAGCAGCACCAGTAGCAGCAACAGCCACCGCCACGACCCATACCTGCAAATGGGCAACAGACCAGCAGCCAAAAACAAGGCTTGGCTATTGACCTGAAGAATTTTAAGAAACTAAAAGAGAAGACCTTCACCCAGTGTAGCTGTCTCTTTGTGGGCAACCTTCGCCTGATATCACTGAAGAGAAAATGAGGAAACTATTTGAGAGGTACGGGAAGGCAGGTGAAGTCTTCAATCATAAGGACAAAGACTTTGGTTTTATCTGCCTGGAAACACAAACCCTAGCAGAGATTGCCAAAGTACAACTGGACAATATGCCACTCCTTGGAGATCAGTTGTGTTGTATGTCTCCCCTTAATATATACCGACTATCCACACTCTATGATAGAGATTGAAAGATTGGAGGACACAAAAGCATTGAAAATAGTTATGCACAATGAAGACAGTGTGGAAGAAGAGTGGGAGACAGAAAGAGTATAGGGAAGGAAATTAAGGAAAGAAAATAGAGAGGCAACTGTGGACACTAATGGTTTATTACCTGGTGATGATAATGTTTATACTATTCTCAAGTGGACTGGTGTGAGGTGTATTTCCTGTTGGGTAAATTTTCTTTGTAAGTCAAATGATGAATAGTGATCATTTGTACAAGAATAATTATAATGAAATAAAAAGAAAATAATTTAATTAAAATAAAAAAAGAATTTACTTTAAAAAAAAAAAAAAAGAGCACCAGAAAGGAAAACATAAAATACAAAAATAATCCTGATAGTATTTGTGTTCTTGTTGCATTTATTTTGCTAAAACCCAGGTACATTGCTACTCTGTCTGTATTAATTAATTATACTGTATAACAAATTATTCCAAACTTGAGTCTGGCATACTATAGACCTAAGTGCTTAATATTCGTAGAACAGATCAACAAATATTTAGTGAATGCCTATTATTTGCAATACATAGTTGAAAAACAAAAAAGGAGAAAGAGAGAAAAAAAAAAGCCACTGTGTGTGCACTTTGTCTGCCATGGTGCATCCCTTATCATCTGAAAACTTTCTCAGCACGTGTCCAACAAATTGTTGGAAGAAGCATTTTCTGTGTTTGTCCAGGTGGAAAGGGCTGTCATCATTGTGGATGATCAAAAAAGGCCCTCAGTAAAAGGCATTGTTGAGCTCTCAGGAAAGCCGGCTGCTTGAAAAGCTCTGGACAGATGTGGTAAAGGCTCCTTTCTGCCAACCACATATCCTCGACCTGTGACTGTGGAAACCATGGACCAGTTATATGATCTAGAAGGACTTCTAGAGAAGGTGGTTAAAAAGAATCAGCAATTTCAAAGGAGTGAGAGCAGCCACCCAGATCTGCACAGTCCAGGTGCTTTGAGTATGAGTATGCCATGCCGAAAGGCAAACACTGAGATGGAGAAGCAGCAGCAAGACCAAGTAGACCGCAATATCCAGGAGGCTCATGAGAAGCTGGAGATGGAGATGGAGGCTGCCCAACATGAGCACCAGGATTTCATGAAGTGCCACACAAGACCAAGTAGACCGCAATATCCAGGAGGCTCATGAGAAGCTGGAGATGGAGATGGAGGCTGCCCAACATGAGCAC